TTCTAGTTTTTAACTTTAACAGGACCATAATTAAAATAAAATTTGAAGCTTGTGATTCTTTGTCACTTAAAGATCCCAAACTTCCAAAACTGTGATTAGAACTTTCATTATTTGTTGAGGCCTGTTAAAGATTTTTTTAAAGGTAAAGTTAGAAGCAATTACAAAATAAACATATTACAAAGTATAAAACCAATCTCCATAAATGAAAAATAAAGTTTGACTCTTTCAAACAATGAAGCCAAGTAAAAATAAGTTAAAAAAATACCATGTTTTTAACATTATGGAAAGATTTATCAAGTCACTAAAAATCTACTCTTTCAGGAACTGACTTGTATTAGTTGATTTTTTAGACTATACTTCAAAACCAAAGGAACTAGGTTATTACTAGGACACAACAGGATCACTAATCAATACAAAAATGTACCCTTGATAAAGCAGTATTATTTGTGTGCCTCAACTTCCATCAGTTATCAAATTCTGTATCTGATACATACCATTTGCCCTTCTTCATATTAACAACTGTCCTTGATCTTTTCTTGGTCAATTTTAAGAAACTCTCTTATTACCTTGCCCATCTTCATTACTTTGTTCCTGCATTTGCCCATTTTTCTGGACTATTTATTTTTGAACAGTGATTACCACAAAAGCATCAGCTATCTAGCAGGCTGACATCTGTTTTATTTCTAATATGTTTCCATGATGCTTACCATTTTGTGGGCCTTTTTGTAGAATTAGTATATGAGACCTATGCCTCCCAGGAATGCTTTGACCAGAAGCTGACAGGTTACTGCATATATGCAGACCAACTTAAATCCTTAGGTTTCCCTTCCATTTGTAAAGAGTAGCTAAAAATCCTACAATTAACAAGTTGAAAATTGGCCTAAAATTATTTGTAGATAAATTTTCAAAGAGACAGCTTTGAGCCACTGCATATTATAGACACCGTAAGGCTGTAACACGGAATAGCAGCTGAAATGATGAAGATTCAAGGAGTAATTGGGCAAGTTTGCTAAACTAGAATAAATTAATACCATCAATATCAATTAGCTGATTAATACAATTAGAAATTCTGATTCTGAACAATGGCAGCAGTGGTAAAGTTTCTGATCATCTGTAAATCCCCATGAAGAAATGAATAAAACTAAAAAGCAATCCAAAACTCACAGATATGTACAAAACAGCACGAAGAGAAAGGCTGTCTGCAGAAATGAAATAAAGATACCCATAAACAGCAAAGTATTCTTTAAACCAGGAGACAATTTGAGTACAGTAGCTGTAACTAGAAGACTTTTGCCCTTTCAAACAATAATTAAGTAAAAGCAGTCCATCCACATAACATCTAAAAGGTTAGAACAGTCTATCATCTATGAAATCTAGAAAGAAACCTGTCCATAACAGGGAGGTACAGAAAGTATACATTACTGGGTATGGAATTAAAATTGAGCACAAAGGGAACAATAATAATAGAGGGAAAGAAACACAGATAAAAGTCCAGAAAGAGGGTACAGAAGATTGCTCAGCTGGTAAAGTGCTTGGTGTGCAAGCATAAGGACCTGAGTTCAAATACCCAACACCTACATGAAAAGGCAGCAGAATGCCGGGCGTGGTGGCGCATGGCTTTAATCCCAGCACTCAGGAGGCAGAGGCAGGTGGATCTCTGTGAGTTCAAGGCCAGCCTGGTCTAAATAGTGAGTTCCAAGAAAGCTGGGGGTAAAGGGAGAAACTGTCTCAAAAAGACAAAAAAAAAAAAAAAAAAAAAAAGCCAGCAGAGCAGCAGCATGCATCTGTAATGCCAGCACCGAGGAATCACACAGAAGGGTCCCTAGACCAACCAGTCAGGTGGAATGCAACAACCCAAGCTTCAGAGAGACCTTGCCTCAAAGAACAGGTGGGCAGTGATAGAGGAAGGCACCAACATTGAACTCTGGCATCCACAAGCATGCATATCTACACACATATGTGCAAACACATGCATTTCAGAAGGACCAGCTTTGAAATCTCAGAAAGCAAATACCTCTATTTTAAAGGGAGCCCAAGGACAACAGCAGAGGAGCTCTGTGTAAAGAGCCAACCTGAACCACCTTTAATGTTCTGATCAGGCAATTTTACAAAAGGCAACCAACTAAAAAGGGCGGAGGTCAATCTAATGAAGTTACTACAAAATGAAAATAATAAGGTACAATAACGTTCTAAAAAAACTAAAGCATGCCAGAAACACCCATAAAATAGGTGAAAATTAACCTACCATTTCAAAATGGAGTTATACAACATTACAAAAATGATTTACAACAAGAAAAAAAAACGCAACAAACTACTTTCAAAAAACTGAAAAGGTAGCAGAACTCAGGAAAGCTTTATAAATAAAAAAGAAAACAGGATCAGTAATAAACACGCAAATACATATAAAAAAGTCAATGCTTTAAGTGAATCATATGGGCAAAAGGAAGGCATGTTTGAAATCACAAGAAATAAGATGTTTTAAGAAAAAAAAAAAAAAAGGAGCTGGGGATGGTGGCACTCTCCTTTAATCAGCACTCAGGAAGCAGAGGCAGGTGGATCTCTCTGAGTTCAAGGCCAACCTGGCCTCAGTTGGGACTAGAAAGAGCTCCTGCCTCAAAAAGACAAAAATAATCAAAATAAAAAAAGGTTTTTATTTATCTTCTACATTTCTTTGGTGATGTGTGTTTGTGTTCAGAGAACAACATGAAGGAGTTGATTTTCTCCTATCATGTGGATTCCAGGGATTGAACTGAGGTCATCAGACTTGGCAGGAAGCACCTTTATTTACTAAGCCATTTCACTGGCCAAATAAAAAGAATTTGAGAGAAAGCAACTAGGGAAGCAACAAGGATTTAATATACAAACAAAAACTCCTTAAAGACTACTTTAAAACTGTAATAAGAAATATTTCCTGAAAACATTTTAAAATTGACCGAAAAAGCATAACACACACTTATGAATATCAACCCAGAGCATCAACATCAAATTTTCCAAAAGCAATGTTTTATGCTAGAAGGAAAAAAAAGTAACACAGTTAAGCTGCTTAAGAAAAGCAATTATGACCGGGCCAGGTGGCACATGCCTTTAATCCCAGCACTCAGGAGGCAGAGGCAGGTGGATATCTGTGAGTTCAAGGCCAGCCTGGTCTACATAGTGAGTTCCAGAACAGCTGGGGGCTACAGGGAGACCCTGTCTCAAAAAGACCAAAAAAAAAGCAACTATGACCAAATGTTTTGTATTTAGTGAAAATTTTTCAACACATCAACTGTTAGCTGAATACAATTACAAACCACTGCTCAGACAATCACAATGAAGAGTCTAACCAGTCTTGAGAACTGAAAGCAAACAATAGAGTATCATTTGCTTACTGATAATAACTAAACAAACAATTATAGGATATTCTAATTCTATCATCTGCATTGTCCTCCAGGGCCACAATTCTCAGTATACAAGATACAGATTCAAATTATAATATAGTGCTGAATTTGAATTGGACACATGAACTGCCCCAGAGCAACTAGAACTTGGATAAAATCCATAATTTCACTGGTTAGGAAAAATCAGTTTCTGGCCACCACAGTAGTTGGAAAGTAAAGAAAGAGATACTGGAAAATAAAGAACTGCAAAGAAAGAATCCAAAAATCCTCCATATTAATTCTGCCCACATCACTAGATTTTAACTGATATAGGAGATCAATTGCTGCCCATATACAACAAGGGGTATGCTGTGCAGATTAAATTAATTCATCAACTGCTAATAAAACAATTAAAAAAAATCAACACTTCAGAAATATATGCCCAGGCTTTTGACAGATAGTGAAATCAGCAAATAAAAGACTTCAAAGTAGCTATAAATATGCTTTAAATGACAAAGCTGATAATATGCTTGCAATAAATGAACAAATTGGAAATTTTGGCAGAGGACTACAAATATAAAGCGATTAAGATGAAAGTTCATTAACTGAAAGTTTCATTCTAAAATTAACAACTTACAACTATATGGGCCTAATAGCAAAATGGATGAAAATAATACTAAAGAAAGGTCAAATAAGTTATTCAAATTAAATAACATAAAGACACGAAAAGCAGCTCTATTGTATACCAATATGCAATCTAATTTACATGAAAAGGAAGCAGGAAAAAATCTTAAATTCCAAAAACTTGGTAAAGACATAAATATACAGGTTAAGAGTTCAATGACTCTCCTCAAACAAGGTAAGAACAAGGAAAGTCATGCCTAGGCACATCAGAGAGAGAGAGGAAAAAAAAAAAAAAACTGCAAGAAAATAGTGCACAAGTTTCTGGTCCAAATAATGAAAGAGGAAAGGGGAAGGAGGAGGGGAAGAAATAATAATAGTAATAATAATGACAATGATAATGGAGCTAAACTTTCCTAGAACTGGAAAGCATGAGATTTGCTTTATTATTTTTTTTTTGCGTGTATGAGTGTATTGCTTGCATGTATGTAAGTGCAACCATGTCACGCAATGCCCGCAGCAGTCAGAAAAAAGCACTGGATCCCCTGGAACTAGAGTTATGGACAGTTGTTAGCGGCCATGTGGATGTTGGGAACTGAACCCAGGTCCTCTGCAAGGGCAGCCAGAGCTCTTAACCACTGAGCCAACTCTCCAGCCTGTACTTTATATTTTCCTATTCTTGTACACAGTTTCTTTTCACAATTTCACTTTCCATTTACTTTCTGATAGCCTGAAATATAACTAAGTTTGGAGTGGACATATATCCAATGACCTTGTCTAGTTTACTTATTTTAATCTGTCAATTTTTCTTGAGTTTGTTCTATAACGATCAATCATCATATGCATATACTTTATTTCTATATGGGTGACGGTAACATGGCTGTGTTGGGTGATGTAACCCATGACTGAGCTGTGTAAGCAAACTCACTCTATATATACTGAGGAGGACTGAGGAGGACATGTGAGTTTGGCTATTTATTTCAATGGTTCCATTAATAAGCCAATATAACCAGCTCTGGTATTCCTTTTTAAAGTCAATCATTTAAAACTTAATAGTCTCGCTACAGAACCTCGGATAATAAAACTAGCAATTTTTCTTCGTAAGTACATTAACTTTACCTTTTGTTATCAGATTTGTATTTTT